TTGGCCAGCAAATTATGTCAGCCTCCTCATAAATATCACTAAATATGCAACATGAAGAACAAAGAGAGTCATTTTCATTGATCTCTCAATGAAGTTTAGAAAAATTATAGTTGTCAAAAGTAAAACAATGCTTCTCACCCACAGAGAAAAAACCATTTCACATATATTGCCATCACCTGCATTGAATCATACTTTTCCATTTAAAGATGCACATGAACAGAATTTATCAAGAATCAGTCCATGAAATTTGGTGAGGAGATTCATCAAAAAGAATCTGGAGAAATAGCATAATGACCATCCATGTAATTGTTCAAGAACTGCTAAACGAGAAGATTTCATACCAGCCATGGATGTTTACTAAATAAGCAAACCCAGCAGGTTATTACACACCTACAAGTATAGTACTCCATAATAATATTCCCACCTAAATCTTCACCCAAAGAAATCAAATGCCAACCTTTTAAAATAGAAACCCGAGTTTTTGCATTCGAAATTGGAAATCTGTGACCAAGCCAGTGAAACTCCGTCAGTGATGCAGCCTGTTGAGATCTCGCTTCAGCCATTGCAGCCTACAAAACAAGGCAGAATATTCTTAAATGCAAGAATGAAAATGACAAAATAAACAACCATAATATATTCCTCAAATCAAACTACAGAATAGATAAAAGATGAGTTTACAAATTCAATAACCATTGGCTAACATGATGTCCTAGACAGAATTCAATGCAGAGGGAATCACTAGTTTGTATAAAAAAGGCTAGAGTGGAATTGGTCTAACATGAACATTCTGCTTACACTGCTTCAAGTGCACAAAATCATTTTTATAATCAGAAAGAAAGCTTCATCAACAATGACACTGTTATTGCCAGAATTTAATTTTTCAAATGATAAGGCAACAGAATAAAAACAGGCAATTACTGAAGATACTGAAAGTAGGAGACACGAAAACAAGCAGGTCATGCACAAATTCTGATAAAAGACCATACTCACCTCCAATTTTGCTTTGAAAAGGTCTAGGGCAGGACCTTCCATCTCACCAATTTGCAAGAGTTCAGAAGTTTTCAGATTTGACTCGCCAATTTTGTGTCGGCAATATCTAACACTAGGTTCCAGCTCCTCAACACGCTCATGGCACAAAACTTGATTTTCTAAGTCTCCATATTTCCCAAGTTCCTCATATACAGCTCTACACAACATATCAAGCTAGTCAAACACAATAGTCAGTTATACAGGCCAAAAACTTATTTATCAAGTACTAAATAAATCTCTTTATACTTGGAATTATTTGATGAGAGGATTTTGGTCGAGAAAGTGATACTAGAAATCAAAATGTTGGCCTTCTTTGAGAGCGTCAATGTTTTAAGGGGACAGTGTAATTATTGCATCCACAATTACAAATTTAATAGTGATGTTTCAAATATTAACCTTCTGTTGCTTTACTTTGATATAAAAAAAAAGTATGATGGACAATTTAGCAAACTGATGTGAACTTAATGTTAACTATTTGAAGTGGATAATCACTATGGAATAGATGAAAGCAAAGAGTAAGGACATGGCATAATGGAGAGAGTAAAATTCTCAGGCTAATGAACTCAAGTACATAGAATCGTGTCTTTGGAAAATAGCCACCATACACAAAAACACATCCGTTCAAGTAACAGCTCAGGAAGTACATGGGCAGGCAAATGGCTGCTTTTTTCAGAAAAGCTTGTTGACAAAGAGAAACACTGTTCCAAAGTAAAAGCAGTAGCGATAATGATCAAATATAATAGAGACAAGAGTAACCTGGCACTGATGAAATTCTTCAATGCAGTGTCCCAATTCCGATCTTGTTCAAACAACAAAAGCCCATTCATGCATGATGCATAGGCCTATAAAATGGACATCAAAAAAGCATTGTTAATTGAGAACGAATGAGCTATCTCAACATGAACTAAACTATAGGAATGCTCCTCAACATGCAGTGAATATTGAGCAGCTATTAGCAAAACAAAGAACCCAAAACAACTTGGTGCTGTTAAGTGATAAAAAAAAAAAAGACCAAAACATCGAAAGGTAAAAAATATGATAAATATGATAGATGACAGAACATACATATAGACTCCAGTTTTGCACTTGTGATTACTTGCATGCTTTTGCATTCTCTCTAAAACAGATGTTCTTAAGATAGAACTGGAGAGCAATTGCTGTGATCATGCTCACCACCACTAAAAAAAACTTGATGGGGAAGTTCACCTATTCTATGTGAAGGAATATCCACAGAAATTCTCGCTGATGCAATTATTATACTAGACACAATTTGCACAAACTTTTCTTTGAATAATCATCATAAGGAGATACCAAAGAAATATGACTCGAGAAAACTAAAAACATGGACACACCTCGGCTTCTAAAGATGTTCTGGAATCTCCCTTGGCAGCGCATAATCTTGAGAATAAATCAGCCCATTTCACTGCCTTCCTCAGTCTCCCAATCAAATAAATACGTTGCTTAGCATTTGGGCCATCTAGAAGCTGTCGTTTTTCCATGGCATGGCTCCATGCTCTCTCCGCTGTATAAAGAACCAGATGCAGATACCTATTCTTCTTCAAACAAGATACATTATAATCTTCAAATACAGTGAAACATTATAATCTTCATAGATTTAATCTGTCATGGATATCATATTTGTTTCAAAATATCCAGTTCTTACTTCTAAAGCAAAACGACCTAACCGATTTCAACTCATGAAACTACACAGCTATTAAAAAAAAAATAACAAAGCTGATTGGAATGAACAAACATCACAAGCATATGGAGAAACAAGTAACAACAAGAAAATAAACCAAAAACAAAATTATACAAATTCTAAAACAAAAGGTGCACTAAACAAAAGCTGTAGTCAACAAGGCATACCTCACTTCAGTAACAGTTGATTCATTCACAGCTCTACGCGTATATTTACCGCGACCATGAGTAAACTTCAATGATTTATATAACCTCCTTAACCGCGCAGTACAATACCTCCTACACTTCCAACAAAATCCAACCCTTTACACGTTCAAATCAAAATTCCTCCAACCATTTACACCTTCAAATCAAAATTCCTTAACTAACAACCAACAAAATACAATAAACTAAGTCACATACCGATAACGCGCATAATCGCCGTGCCTCAATCCATGCTGCATTTGCGCAGATTTCAGTAATTGCAACACTAATTAACAAAATACCTTAACTATCAAAATAATAAAATTAATAATTTTACTCAATTTAAGTATTCAGTTATTTTTTGTTTAAACTGAAATAAATAAAAAATGAGATTGCAAATTCATTCGATAACAATGACAACCATTGATTGTGTATCTCGGATTGATCTGATCAGAATCGTTCTGTTTTGGACCCTCGATTTCCATTGCGGCAACCTCGTTTTCTTTCACCATGATTCCTTCAAACAAACAAAAGAACAATAATCGAGGAAATAAAAAAGTAATTGGATCTGGATATTAGAGATTGAATTTAAATAAAAAGGGAGTGCTAGTAGGGTGACGTGGTGGTGGCTGCGGCCCCGCCTCGTTTTTAGCTTACGCACTGTTTTTAAGCAGGAAAAAAAGGCAAAAGGCAAGAATAAACAAAAGGATCAGAAAAATTCAAGGACCAAAACGAAAACGAAAACAAATAAAAAAAGAAAATAATGAGACTGAGAAGGAGCTTTTATTAAGAGATGAAGGACTAAGAAAAATCAGCTACCCCCTTTTCCCAAGCTAACTCATCCCACGCTGCATTACCAGTGCCTTATATTTCATTTCTCTGGTTTCTGTCCCAAACCTATCAAGCGTTTTGTAGCAGGTAAAGTCGTTCCTTTTCTGATTTTAATCATGTTATTTGAATCAATATACTAATCTTCCATGAATTAATGTTCTTTAAGGAGGGTGAGGATGCGTTTGCATGTAGAGACGGTGGAAGATCTCCCAATGGGAGACGAAGCCAGTGGCAGCAAAGCATTGGAGAGTTGGAAAAAAGAGTGATGAGGCAAGCGTGTTTGATTTTTTTTTTTTATTAATGTGAAGTGTCCGGACCAGCTTGCGTATCCATGACTAATCCCTACGACTCACTAAATATCCTGCAAACCCAGCAGACAAGTAAGGCATTATGAAGATGACAGACATGCACGTCAGGGCTCGAACCTATGTGTAATAAAAGGAGACAAGCCCCTTCCACCGCTAAATCAAGCCCCTCGATGCAAACATATTTGATTTTAATTAACTCTTTATTAAAAAAAAACATACACCAAAACATAATTAATTAGAAAAACCAATCAACCTCCATCCCAGCAATGAGCTCTTGATTTTTTATTTTAATTTATTAATAAGAATGCCCGAGTTAGATCTCAAGCTCTCCATGTGAGATTCCAGAGCCTTTAATAAAATATATAGTTATGAAACCCTTCATCCATGAATCGATACATGCAAACAACAAATAGTAATAAATTTATTTAAATTATTTCAAATTTTATATAAAAATCAAATTATAAAATGTAAAGCGACATCAATCTTATATAAATATTATTTGATATAATAAGTAAAAAGTATCAATTCAAAACAAAAGGTAATACAATAAGCAAAAAAAAATATTGAAATATTATTTGATATAATAAGTAAAAAGTATCAATTCAAAACAAAAATTGATACAATAAGCAAAAAAAAGTATTGAAACCTAATGTCTCAGTATTTATTAATAAATAAAAAGTAATAAATACTTGTGAACCTGTGTTGTTGCAAAAATATGAATAATTTAATTAAATATCTTTAAAAATATTTTATAAATTTATTTATATATCTATATTTAATGTATAAATACATGTGGTAAATATCTCAAACACTCATCTTAAAAAGATAAAACTTTCCTCTAAAAAAAAATCAATCTAAAAGTACTCAAAACCTTTAAATTTTATTGAACAAACATTGAATAAATAGTTTTATGCACTAGATTATGTATGCGTATAAAACTCTAGTATAAATAAAAAAAAATTATACATATATCTAATTAAATAATTTTGTAATTATTGTGTAAAGTAATAAAAAAAATTCATCAACAATTAAAAAAATAGAAAACCAAATGAAAAATAAAAATCAAGTTATCTAACATTATAATACGAGTAATTTATCTAGTTATGTCAAATGAATTTCTCTATTAAAATAAATTTATAATAGAAAAATACATGAAATTTATAATAAAAAACAATAAACATATAAAATTTATTAAAAACTAATTATATATATATATATAAAATAATGCAAGGCTGTACATAATATATATATATATATATATATAACATATATGGCTGCAATAATTAAAATAAAACATATAAGAAATCTTATAAAAAATAAATATTAAAAAAATTTAATTTATATAAAATTAAGAAAAAAATCATAGGTAAATTATATCTACCTCTCTAAAAATTAAATACGTCCAATATCATTTCAAAATAATCACAATCTAATTAAAACATAAATAAAAAATTTATTTGAAAAAATATACACAAATAATACTTTATTTTTTTAACAAATAAAAATTAAAAATAATAATAATAAAATTAAGAATAGGCTAAGCCTAATACATCACCTAATAAAGCAACGCCCTGCACACGAGCCTTTATGTTTTTAAAAAAAGTTTAATGAAAAAAATTATATATCATCTACTCTAAATAGTTGAAAAAAATATCGTGTCATTTAAGAAACTTAGAATCTGGCTACTAAAGTGGCCAGAAAAATAGAGTCTTTTATTTTTTTGTTTAAAAATTTATTTCTAACTAAATTTTAATTAAAAACACCTTAAATCCTTTATTGAATCAATTCATGATTGCCAAGAAGCCAACAAATCACTCTAAAATCTAAAATCAACCCCTCTTGTTATATAAAATTAATACAAAAATCAATTATTTTGATGTCCAATATCCTCATCAGTAACTGCTTTCTTTCTCTATAACAGAATTCAATGATTTTCTCTCTCTTATTTCAAGAAAAGAACTAAAAAAAAGAAAAAAAAAGTCAAGTATCAAAATATATTATCTTGCAATTAAAAGGACTAATCACTTAATATCTAAAAATTAAAGGATTAAAATAAATATTTTAATGAAACTTTCAACTCCCTACATGTTACCTGAAAATTTTACTTCAGTCCCTTAGTTCTCAATGCAATCCTCCTCCTAAGAAAAAAATTGGTTGGGGTTAATTTGAGATTAAAAGAGTCAAATCGCATAAAATAAAAATTTGAGTATCAAAGTAAAAATTATCGTATAACACACTGCTGCGATCCACATTGAATTACAAGAGAGTGCACAAAGTATTTTTGCTACAGTAGAAGGCTGATGCGTTTTAGTTTTTGTTGTAATAACATAATTATAATTTTAATAAGTATCCATCGAATCTCAAAACCCTAATTCTCCTTATTACTCTCGGTTTCTTAAATATTTAATTTGATCAGAGTTTTGCAGCAGGTAAAGACGTTCCTTTTCTGATTTTAATCATGTTACTTGAATTATTATTATTCTACCAATCTTCCATGAATTAATTTTTTGTGTTTGTTTTTGTTTTTGAGGAGGGTGAGGATGTGTTTGCATATTGAGACGGCGGAAAATCTCCCAATGGGGGACGAAGCCAGTGGTAGCAAAGCATTGGAGAGCCCACCCGTGAAGTTAGCACTTGAAGTTGATGCTAAAAAATCGAAAAAACGCAAAAGGAGAACTCATTGTAGTGCAATGGTTGCTAATGATTGTCATATCACGAAACTGGAAAAATCTTATACTAGAGTTATGCTGTCTTTAACCAAGCCATCCTACCTTCTCGGACTTGGTTCCAACTTTATTCGACATGAAAATCGTATGAGATTGTATTATCTTTTGCAAAAATTAGTCAGACAACACAATTGGAGAGAAGCTGCTGGGGTGCTAAGTGTGTTTTTGAGAGCCACATGCAAAGATAAATCTCCTATCTCGAATCGCTTCAAGTATACCGTATGTTTCTGATGCCCACCACAGCCTTGCCCTGTATTTTTTTTCTTTACTGCTGCGCTAATTGTGTTGCCATAAACTGATATTATTTGAAATTTCAGATGTTCACATTTGGGGCATTTGCAATGATGCAACTTGAAGTTTTTTTCTATCATTTATTATTTGTGCTTCGAAGAGAAATGGAGAGATTCTCAAAACAACTGATTTATCATATTCTATTTTGCTTGGTGATGAAACAATATGTTTTGTGAACTGGCTATTGGCAACGTGAGAGACTGAGTTTTTGATCATAGAATCTACACGAGATCAAAGACCATTTAGTGGGTTACACAGAGACTTAAGACCAATGAATGACAAGATGTCGTTTTTTTTTCTTTGGAACCATTGTGTTGCATCCCCAATTTAGCTTCAGCTGCAACGTGGCAGCAATCAGCTGAACTTTTTATCCATTGCTTAGGATTTTGTGCATATCTTGATCATTCTGATCTGTTGAGATTGTAAAGCATTCTTTATATCACATTGCTTGTAATGTATGTATGAAAAATTACAATGATATCTAGGGCATTTATAATACAGCCTTTTAACATACATGGTAGCATGTTTAGGTTGCGCTGGATCTTCTTAAGCACATAGAAGGTGATGATGTCAGTTTGTCAGCAATTTCTAGCATTTATGATACTTGGATGGCAAGGATTGGAACCAACTTATCAAATACAAGAAACAAGGATGGGCAAATGAAAGAGGTATAGTTGAAAAGTTCTCTTTCTATTCTTACAGAAGCATTATTTGTTCAGCACCCATGATATAGCTGGAGTACACCACTTTAACCCCTCTCTCTTTTTCAGATTTTTGTGTGCATTAAAGTCGTTTTGTGCTGATCAAAGACTTTGATTGTTGAACAGGATAGCTTTGTTGTTCGTTTGCAGTTCATCCTTTCCCGTGTTATGCAAGGAGATATTGAAGCTGAACGTCACAATGTCAAAATGTACGATTATCACTTTTTCATACTTAATAGCTGACTAGATAATGGGACTTGCAGCGTACTACAATGCTATATGACCATAATGATATTTCAATGCTACATGTTGTGTTGTTTCATTGCTTTAAAATAAGAAATTATGTGCCCACGTCAGCAACTAGCATCAGGCACAAATACTACTTAACAAAGAAAGGAAGAAAACCCAAGATGCCCTTTGATCTACTTGTGGGTTTCATGTTCTTATGTTTTTACTGTTCGAGGTAGAGCAACCAAGATTTGTCATTATAGATTGATTTTCACTTTTTATCAATGTTGCATATTAAGGATTACACCTCCATCTAAAAGATTATTAACGTCTTGTTTTGCCCAAGTGATACGACAAGTATGCTTTATACTGTCCATCTAACAGGGAAACTGTCATAAGAAGGAAAACCTCTCTCCTTCAGGATAGTTGGATTAAAACTCTTCACTTCTGATACATGAAACAATATTTTATTCAGTTTGTTTTAGATTTTGTAGATCCTAAATTCTTCAAACATGTTTCTGTTTTTTTGTATAGTAAATTGTACACCCTGGATGCTCTTCATTTACACCCTTCTTATATAGATGTGATAATATTAAGTTATAGATCAAGAATTTGAGATTCAGGTTATATGTAATTTCCAAAAGCTTTCTGATCATTTAACCTGCATCATTCTTTTGTTTTCCCAGCTTGATGGAAGAGCGTGGGTACGAGAATCATCCATTTTTTAATATGATCCTGGGCTTGATTTCTAGTCAGTTGTGGTATTCTAGTCTCCCGGAAGAAATGCAATGGAAGGATACTTTCCAAATTCATTCCCCTACGCATTCAGACATGCCAGCCACTCCTTCACAACTAGAGATGTCAGCTATGAGATTCAGCCATGAAGTTGGGGACTCAGAGCGGCACAATGCAATTTTCAATGAAGAAAGTGGCGCTTCCTTTCATTGTGATTCAGAGACTTCTGTCATGAAAGATAAAGAAATATCTGTGGAGGTTGATGGTAGCTTTAACAGAGAAGCATTACCTGTGGAGGTTGGTAAACTGCACAAAGAAAATCTCCAAAAAGACTTTCAACCACAAGGCTTTTATGTGAACTCTGCTGAAAGTGATGCCTCCTTTGATAATAATGGTGGTGTCATGCACTTTGTCCCTAATCCGACTGCCTTTGGTGAGTTCCAAATCCCATTGTTTTGGATTCTTGTTGCATTTTCTAATGCACTGGTAAGACAGCCTCATTGAAAAAGGAAAAAAAGGAACTGAAAAAAAAATCAGAATGGAAACATTTAGGACAATTTAGTGAGAAAGGAAGCTCCTTCAAAGGTCTGTACTGAAGACCAAATCAAACCCAGAAATGTTATTCTGCCTAGTTGCGATAACAACACACCTTCATGAGGTTCTATAATTCTACCTAACTGAGTGGCGTAGCAATACTATATCTTTCACTCCATCAAGGAACACCCTAGAATCATATTTAGTGATGATAAGTTTATGCTGCATATCCCAGGCTGCTGTGGCAACTGAAGTACATTTATATTTTTACTTACGCTGGGAGAGGCCTTTGCATTATGTAGAGAATCATGCATGCATGTTATGTATGCTTTGATGGATACGTAAATGAGGCCCAAATAAGAAGGTATAGAGAAGTTGGGGAAAAATCAATTTCCTGAATTTAACTATCTATAGAACACAATTTCTTTTGGGTTACTCCATGAAAAATCATCCTTGCTCATGCACCAACATGAAATTATCTATATTTAGATGTAGTTCTAGTAATTAACTCGATTGCTACTACACATTTTAAATGCCAAAAGTTGTCATTCTCAATAAAAATTGAACTGATCATCAATTAATATGACATGCTTTTAAATTCTAATGATGGCACAAAGGAATTCTTAATGGATATAATTTCATTAATTATAGTGTCTTTTAATAGTCATAGCATCTTCTTGCTGGTGAATTGCTAATAAGCTGATGAAGACTAGTGTGTTTTTTTTAGTGAATATCAAGTGGGATGATTACACTGATTGAATTCTGAAATAGTGTTGACACTGCTAGTTGCTGACAAAGTCAAATTGCAAGGTAGAGAGGTAGAAAAGAGGGCACACAATTGTTTTCTGATTTGTTTGTTTCAATAGATAAATTAATTGTAAACCTGGAGAAAACCTCCTTAACATTTCCAAAGACACAGGTAATTTTAATTCATGATGATGCTGTCTGTGCCAGCGGTGTAGCTAGTTGGAAGTGGTAGTTGCAAATTATTTCTGATTTTTTTTTTAAGATGCAAATAATTTTACATCTATAAAATTGTTAAGCTATGAAAGATAAAACATAATCTAAGCAACTTTATCTGTTGAAATTCTCAGTTGTTAGTGTAGTTATGTTACAGCCAGTAGGGATGTGATTCTGAAATCTTGATCCCAAAACATTCAATAAAGAATTCAAAACCATGTGCTTCTGTTATGTGAAGTTCATTGGTTGTTGCATTGTTACAGTATTAGATCCCCCTTGTTGAAATGCTTAAATTTCACCGGTAGGAGCTAAAGATTATGACATGATTCTGTTATGCTGAATGATGATTATCGTTATTTTTCATTATATGGAAAAATCTGACGCATGCAAGCACATGCCTAAATATGCATGCTAAATGTTTTATTTGTCTTGCCAAAGAGAACTCAGGTTCATGGCTGTTACCATTGCGAACTGGGAATTGGGACTTGGATCAGATAGTTCGTGATGAGGAATATAGGAATGCAGTGAAGTATTTGCAAGAAGCCATACACTCCACTCCTCCAGTACCAGCAGCCTTGCTTCCTTTGGTACAGGTAAAGGGAACATAAATGATGACTTACATCTTGTAAACATTGTTAAAATATTATTGCAAGAATTTAAACTTTCCTGTATAGGACACAGCATTCACTCTTTCCATTAAGGAAATGTACTTGCTGCATTCAGTTATGCTATGGTGTTGTTTCTAAGAGAAATAGTTTGATCACAGTAGCCTTTTCCCTTGGGGAAAGTATGTGAGTTTAAGACTGCCCGTGTAATATTTTCCCATTTTGCACCATTACGTAGACTGGTGACAGATAATGTTTTTACAACCTTGGGAGTAGCATACAGGATACCTATACTGTAGTTGATTGTTGACAGGGAACCACAAAATAGTATATTGCCTCCCTAGAGACCAGAACTAAGCTGGTTTTCCTTTTCAATTTGATGCAACCTTTAGTCCTGGAGACCAGATTGAGGATATGGAATTTACAACTATACAAGACAAATAACTGGATGCATTTGCTTGCATTTTTTCACTTCAATGCTTCCCCTTTTCCAAGAGGCGAGGCTCTAGAGGCCTGCAGTATGTACATCATTCTAGCATGTCTCCATGTTTTATGAAATAATCAAGAACTACAATCTATGAACCACCTGCCTAGCCCTTCCTCGTGATGAAGTTGGCACAACATTGTTATGTTTAAGAGTGACTGGAGATTATATCTTTTCAACAGTTTATCCAAGGCACCAGCATGTGAGACATTACAATATGGGGCTCTACTGTTATGCAGAACAAACCTGTCCTTGATCTAATTATCGAAACACTGTTTTTTAGATCAAGGCAGGTTGGCTATGTGATATAGAAGATTTGGCCAACAGATGTCTCATTCTTGAGCTCCTCCAATGTTATGAAATTCCTTGTATTCTTAAAATGTATGTGTTGTGCGGTTTTGGTAATGTGTAAGATGATTTTGTCTGTCGCTGATCATCACTGACTTGATCATGTTATCTTCATGACAAAGTAGTGAGGATTTCTTATTGCTTTCTAATAATTGCAGTCATTAGTGTGTATGTGGAATTTATTGATTCCAATATCATTGGTGAATATCATTACTGTTTGAATCTTGATTTCTAAACAGTACAAATTTGCTTTTGCCAGTTATTGCTGATTGGATGCAAAGACAAAGAGGCCCTTGATGAAATTGAGAAGTTCTGTGCCAATTCAAGCGGAGCACTTCCTAAGAGGTACTACTTTGCTGAGTTTTAAACTGCTTCTATCGGCAATGAAGCCTTTGGTGTAGATAATGTGTTACTTATCAAAGAAAGTAATTATATGCATCTGATTGACTTGACAGAGGAACATCTGTAAACTTTGACAAGGAGGATACATTTTTGTTGTTGTGCTACTTCTTGTTTCTCTTTGGTTTTGTTTTTTATTACCAGTGTTGGTTGGTGTTTCCAATAGCTGGTTGTAGTGATGCACACACACGCGCGCGCACACACACACACATGCATGCATGCACATATTTAAGGAAATAGAAGTCCATTAAAAGAGGGTCTAATACCAGTTAGCGTGTATCTAAATTTTCATGCAGCTACACTTGTCTTTGAGCTGTATCCTTTACTCAATCATGTTCTCCTAATCTTGTTCATGATGAAATAAAATATGTAATTTGTGCAGAATGAAGGCTAATATTTTGGAGCAAGTTGATCCTAATAACAGTGTCGTACTTGCAACTTGTTATGAGGACACCTTAAAGAGTGATCCTAAATGCAGCCAGTCATTGGCAAGGCTTATCAGCCTGCATCAGAAAGGTACTCTACGTTCTAAATAACTAAGTTACCACTGTATGCATCAGGCAAGGTTTTCTAGTTTTCTGGACATGAACTTGTTCCTGAATAACCAGCCGCAGGGTATTGTTTATTTACCTTTTGCAGTATTGGAAACCTTTGCACTTTTGTATCTCAAAGATCCATCTTTTTAAATTTGTATCCATCTTCTTAAATTTGTTCACAGTTGCTAATGTACAATGTGGCTGGAACAGTTTTTCTTGCTTGCGGTATCCTTCACTTGCCTTCTTTTTGGCAACTGTGATTTAAAACCATTGTTTGGTTAGTATGATTGACAGGGGAATGAAAGCTAACTTTAGTGCACTTTTATCACCACGTGAGAGGGGGTATGGAAAAGGAAAATTCAGATTTTTTTTTTTTCCTTCTAGTTGCCACCACAATTACTGCCATCATGATCACCTACCAACACCATGGGTTTCTGAGTTCTTAGCATGTGCTTATTGGCATGTGGTGTGTGTTTCGGGTAAATGTTCTCAATGAGTGAAACGATCTGGTTAGCCTGTTTTCCCTTCTCTGATTGCTTTCTTTTGATATATTGCAGGGGATTATAGCCCTCAATCCCTGTTGGAAATGATAGCCTTGCATTTAGATGCTGTCTTTGTGGAATATGATACTTGGAGAGAGTTTGCTTTGTGCTTTTTTAAAGTCTCTCGGTGTGAAGAGGATGAGATGTCAGTTTGTCAGCATGGAAATGAAGGTGGAAAAAGGCAACCCTATTCTGTTTGTTATAATGGAATCCCTAAAATGTTTACCCATGGGAAATCAGTAGGACTTTGGAGGTCTCGCTGCAGATGGTGGTCAACTCGTCATTTCAGCAAGAGCATCCTTGCATCAGAAATTGATGCCGGTACCTATCTTTCGTCTCTATAAGCTGACACATATATTAAGTGATCTTGATCACTCTATCCTTAAATTGCATATCTTTGAACTCCTTATACTGGTTCTGCAACCGACCAGTGAGCAAGGGACAATTTTTCCAACCTCTCTAAACATCTCTGTGAGACTATGATCCACATGCCAATTAATGCACTCATTATATTTGAAATTACTGGAGCATGATAGAATATGACAATAATAGAATGTTGGTCTATCTAGTTAACATGATTGAATAGGGTTGTGTCAAGCTGTCTTTGTAAGGCCGCGACCCAAAACTGAAATCTACATGACGCCTTTATGGTTTTTTTGCAACAGGTGATTGGCAGCTCCTAACTTACAAGGCAGCATGTGCGTCCCACATGTATGGACAGGACTTCGGGTATGTTGCAAAGGCATATACTTGCATACAAAAGGAAAATAACAGGGACTTGTCAATGTTTTTGCGACAGCACATGCAGAATTCCCTCGGACTCTATTCACAGCTCCAAAGAGGGAATAACTAATGTATGTATTTCCCATCAGCAAAGGAAAAATAAAATAAAATAATATTTTGTTTTCATTTTTGTGCAATAGAAATTGCAATTTTTTTCCCAGGTGGTGAATATTTTATTTTTCAACATTTCATTGCATGAATTCTTAAAGATTTCTGCATACAAATGAGTCATTATTTTTTTCTCCACCAAGTAATGGGTTTAATAAAACTCCTTGTAACAATGTAAACACCAATTTGGATGTGGAAATGTTAAATTTCAATTTAATTCACAGTGAAATGAAATGGTTTCTTCTTAGCAGCACAATATATATATATATATATATATATATATATAAATTATATATGATATTTGACTAAAAGCCTTCTCAGACAAAAGTAATTCATAAATATTGTAACATAATACAAATTATAGTAGGAAAAAACATATTAATTTACACCATCCCTTCCATATTTTAAAGAATTACTTTTCACTTATCGAATCAAAATCAACTTTAAAATTTGATGAATAGATTAAAAAAGCTTGACTTTATAGTATTAACATTAACATACAAGTAGTATATATATTTTTCTTAAAAAAATAAACTCATTTGATTAATTACTTTTTGCAAGCACATAAATAGATTCAAGGCTACAAAACTTGCTTTGATTAATTAATTAATATTATTAAAAAATATATTAAGAGAACTAAACATTATTAATCATGTAACAAATTGGATGGAATATAGTATGCCTAGATGCATATGATAAGCCTGAAGACTTGCATCTACAAAGATTACGAGCATAAGATGTCAATCCCTTTCAGCATAATCAAAGTTATTAAACCGAATTGTTGATATCTATTTATTTTTGTATTTTAAAGGTATTTTTTTAAAAAATTATCTTTTTATTTTTTTGTTTTAAATTAATAATTTTTTAATATTTTTAAATCATTTTGATGTGTTGATATAAAAAATATTTTAATAAATAAAAAATATTATTTTAATAATTTATAAATAAAAAATATTTTAAAAAATAACTGTAACCACATTATCAAACACACCTATATTATTTTTTATGATTATTATCAATTAAAATAATATTATATCAATTAAAAAAATAAAAAAAATTGATTTTTTTTATAGATAATCAAACTAGATTTTTTCGAGTCATGAACGTTATAATTGATTCGAGTTAAAAAACAGTGATGCCAATAAATTCAATCAATAAACATGATCAACTCAATAACCATGGGAAATATGAAGAAATTAAGTTTTATTGAACTATCAGGCTTAAGTGAAGAATGGACTTGGCCTGCTTGCTCTTCAGCCATCAATTACAAGTGCTTAGCGTGCAACAAAATGGCATGAGTTATGATTTAACAACAGTGAACTTTAGTTCAATCCACTTGCAAGATTCTTGCCCTCATATTAGACAGCGGATATGTTCTTGAAATCTGCTACAAACTGATGGAGATCGTCTTCCTTTCCTCTAAGTGGTTGACCATTTACTGTCAAAGTCGATAATGAAGGTACGAATTTCCATTGGAGTAAGTTCAACAACCAAAGTAGAAGGATCGATTTGTCCTCCTCTAACAACCTTAGGCACTTGTGTAGAAGAGCCCTCTGCTTCCCAGACGAGCCTCTTTTCAATTTCAGCTCTTTCTTGATTGGCGGATAAGCTTGTTTCTGTTAATCTATTTCATCTGGAAGTTGAATAGAACATTGATAACACAACTAATTGCTTATAGGTATGGATTGATATCGCCATGCATCTAGTTGTTTTTACCTTTTTAGCTTTTAACACCTTTATCAGCTCCACACTTGCCATAACAGATAGATCCTTGTCCTCTCCAATCTTGCATTTGAAATGAGAATTTAGAGAATGAGTCTATAGAAGCAAGGAGGCTTGTTGCTCAAAATCCACATAATAATTATTTTCATATTACCAGTGAAACTTTTCTGGTCTCAGTCAAGAGATCGAGGTTGGTGTAATGAAGAGGTAGATTTTATATGAAAATTTGAAAGAAAGGAGGAACTGTGGAAACCATATGTGTGCCAAGCGAAGGAGAACTGTTCCATCATCCAGTTTCTGTGGAATTCAAGAAAATTAGCTCAAACATTGAAATCCAATTCTTTTACCAGGGAAAGAGATACACACCTGGAGACTTATAATTGCAACATTGTCAGGTAAAACACAGGAGGGATCCATCCCAGAAAAAAAGTTGCCACATGAGAGTTTGTCCAAGTCTCTCCATCCTGCAAAATGGTGATTAAATCTATATGAGTTGTAGATTAATATCAATAGGAACAAGAATACATCCATATCTTTCTTTCACCTGCAGCTCTGCGAAGGCCAAGATGAATGGAGAATATGTCCCTTGACCATAGGGATCGAGGCCACCTAGCACCTTCTCCTAAAGGGTCTATGAATGATGAATATGTCACCTGACCATAGGGATCGAGGCCACCTAGCACCTTCTCCTAAAGGGTCTATGAATGATGAATATGTCACCTGACCATAGGGATCGAGGCCACCTAGCACCTTCTCCTAAAGGGTCTATGAATGATGAATATGTCACCTGACCATAGGGATCGAGGCCACCTAGCACCTTCTCCTAAAGGGTCTATTCTGAGTTGAATACTTTCCCAGTATCTGTGAAAGGTAAGATTACCAAATCAATGGTTGCCAAAAGTTGCAGTGAAAACTGAAATCAATATTGCCAAAAGTACTGGTCAACTGTCTTTAACCAACCAACATCATCTTGTGTGCAAGGCACCAAATGGACATTAAGCTAGCCATGAACAATTTTAGATGTTGTGTCATAAACCGTGTACTTCGATTCTACACATGAAATCAACAGTAATTGCAGAATCAAAAAGCATTTTTGAGTGTCCATAAAGATGTTTCCTGGTCTGATGGAACTAAAGTTCAAAAGAGATTTTTGATTATGTAGGAGGGTATATACATATGACAAGCGTGAGTATTAAAGAAGAACACCATTTGTTGTCTTGTTCTTATTTTTTAATGAAAGGAAGTTGAAGTGCTAGAATTTTAAAAAGGAACAAGGCAGGTAAAGTGCTTGTCATTTGTTGTTAATTACTTGCTGCAGAAGAACATGAGCTATGGCTATTGGCTTGCTCCATTTTTAGCATTAAAAAACATGTCACCTTCTTGTCAGTGAATACTGTTTGTAAGCAATGTGTGCCTTATCCTGTAATCAAAGACATGTCGCCTGCGATGAAGATGTGACTTCCAAGCACCAACGAATCTTCAAGTGCAGGAATGTTTGAAAATTTTCTATTTATTTTCAAACACGGAAATTTTAGTCAGAACAGCTTTTATTTTTATTTTTTTGGATGGTGAATAATTTGCAAGATGATAGGAAAATGGATTTTCCTTGACTTCAGATACATCAGATGAGAGAAAATTGCAAAGAGCATAATGTTGAAGATAGCTAAACTTTATTGATAAATCAATGAGATAAATTTTATTTGAGTAGCTACACATGAGGAGCCTGAACAAGATCTACATTTTGGAAGGCTTACAAACATTTGATATCAACAATAAAAACCAAAAATAAGTTTCAGAGCCAAGAAATTTGGTTAAAGAACATGATCCGATCGCAAGAATTTTTCTTGCACAAGGAGAAATTCTGGTCTTGTAGTAATCAAATTTAATCAAAGGTGATATGGAAGGTACGAATTTCCATTGGGGCTAGTTCAACAACTAGTGTTGTTGGATCGATATTTCCTCCCCTCACCACTTTAGGTTCTTCTCCTGAAGAGCCTTCTACTTTCCAGACTAGCCTCTTCTTCTCCATTTCTACTCTTTCTTGGTTGGCTGATAAACTAGTCTCTGTTATCTTGCTGATCTGATAATCGTAGAAAATTAAAGCATTATGAAAAAATTTCAATTTTCTTTCTTTGCCGGCAAGCATGAAAACTTTTACTCATTCTTCTACCTTCTTATTTGGGAACACCTTTTTCAGTTCTACACTTGCCATTACTGACAGATCCTTGTCCTCCCCAACCTCGAAGCATCAAAAGAAACAAAGAATAAAGAATACAGGGCTGAATTGACAAACGAAAGAAGATGGGAGTGGTTTCCTCATAAGAACACACTAACTTTAAAGTTGGAAGATAATTTTCATAGAAAAGCATGGCAGAGGGGAATTTTCTCATGAATCCTAAGAAGAAACATGAGTAAAATTATGCCACTGGAAAAATCATGTGAAACAAATGTCAACAGATCATCAAATAAATTTCAGTATTTAAAAAATGAGGATCATGTGAACTGGTAAAAGAATAAGAAGCAATCTAGGCGAACATATTCTGCAGTTGCATCAAGCATTTTATGAAAAAGTTGCAGTTAAAGTGTATAAATGACAGTTTGCTCAAAAGATTAAAGATATTTTCCTCCATTTTCTAGAACTATGAAAAGGCAATCTGCATACCTCATATAAGTGTGCTAACCGAAGGAGAACCTTTCCATCATTCAACTCCTGTGGAGTAAAAGAGAAGGTAAAACACTTTAAATCAACAAGGAATACCTGGTATTTCTATTTGGTACACATTCATAGTATAATATGGGACACGAAGCAAAGCAACTTTCTGATTTCAGTTACCATTAGAGAGTTCAAAGTTTGACGAATCAAAGCAACTAGTTTGGCGGTCCATCCAATAGAAGATCATGGACCTGTTTAGTTTGCTGTTTTCTGATTTTTCTAAGAGAGGCCCTAATTGTCCTTACCACTTGTCCAGTCTTATCTACAAAGGGCAGGAGAGATATGCACCTGGAGGGTTAATATCGCAACATTGTCAGGTAGAGCATAAGAGGGGTCCATTGCGGAAAAGGTTGCTATATGAGAGCTAGCCCAACTATCTCCATCCTGAAAAGCGAGAATGATACATCTATGAGTTACAGGCTGACTTTACTGGAAACAAGTGCTGGAATATTTTTCTTCACCTGCTCTGCGAAGGCTAAGAGTAAGGGAGAATATATCTCTTGACCATATGATCGACGCCACTTGGCGCCCTCTCGTAAAGGATCTATTCTGAGGAAGTACTTTCCTACAATCTGTAAAATGGATGATTACCAAGTAAACTGAACATGACATGAAAGGTTTCAGTGAAGTCTAAAAACTATGGCATGTTAGTTTGTGCTTACTGTCAATCCTCTGCAATCTTCAAGAACACAAACTGTTTCATTTAGTGCCTCTCCAACACCTCTGGAATCATCAAAAAGTAACCTCCTGCTGGGGAAAAAAAAGCAAACTAAATATGCTTGAACAATAATGCTTAAAAATTAGTAAACTAAATATGCTTGTACAGTAAAGTATAAAAATTGATAACACTAAGGAAAGAAAGATGAGCATGATTAGGAGAAAGAGTAGATGAGACCTGTGGAGCATTAATTCCAACTGCCCATCCACAATACTTGAACCCCCCACAGATCGATCAACTAAGATGGAGAACTCTGAGCTATTATCTTGCATATAAAGCCCGAGATTAATCTGAACGGAGAAAAGAAAAGAAGAACTTAGTGATTTGTTGCCTGGAAGAGAAAATCGAACTACATGCATTTGCATGAGCATGCACATATCATTTTCAAGTTGATTTTTGATAATTGATTGCTGAACTTTTCAGATATTAGAAGGAAGCTAACATCATATTAAACTAAACTAATATATTGGTCCGCGCTATGCCGCAAGTTAATATTATTTTTTTAAAAGTAATTTGGGTTTGACAACAATACAAGACTCTAGAGCATTGAGTCTAGCAACTATGTTAAACCTAAGAGATTTGAGTTTGGTTGTTATACCAGACTCAAACCCAAGAGCCTTGGGCTGGCGGGATGCCAGACCCACCATGCCAGGTCTAAAAAACTTGGGTTTGGGGACCACATCGAATCCAACAACTTTTCAAATATAAAATAGAAAAGAAAACACCTCCATAGCCTTCTGAACATTTATAGTGTGATCCATAGTACAAACACTCTACATACACAGCACCAGCATAATGATTTTCCAATGTATTTTAAAGAATAGAAAGAATAACTCCTTTATAGTTCTTTAAACATTTACAATGTGGTTTACAGTACAAACACTTTATATACACAGTACCAGTATAGGGTCTGGTGGCGATGCCAGATCTAAGAACCTTAGGTTTGGCGTCAATGCACACCCAAAAGCATTGGGTCTGACGGCCATGCCAGACCCAAGTGACTTGGGCTTAAAGGCTATGCTAGATCCAATAACTTTTCAAAAAAAAAATAGAAACGACAACATCCCCATGATTCTCTGAACATCTACAATGTGGTTCACAATGCAAGCACTTTATATAAACAATATTAGCTATTTTAAAATATAGTATAATTTCTTGCACAATGTACTCTATTCTTGGATAATGAGACATGCAGATTTCATCATTTAGAAATCACAAGGCTATTGTCAATTTTAGTCACAACATTTCTTTCAATTCTCGAAGGCATGGAAGCCCATTTAATTAAATTTTAGTACGTGACATGTCTGCCGGTGAAAATATTGAGTGTTCTACAAATAGTTTTTAATAAAAAAAACAAATTCTCACAAATAATTCGATTGAATGTGATTGTAAAGCAAGCATACAGGGTAATAATTTCCTGCAATAGGTTGGTTCACTTGCAGTTCCCAGTCTTTTCTGTAGTCTCGAACCTGAAAAGGAATATTTCTTTGAAGTTATAAATGGAACCAAAGAGAAATTTCCAGCAGCATGTGCAAAGCAAGAAAGGAACATACCCTTTCTATGAAATCACGCCCACTAGAATCTGTATAAAACTTTTTGTTGTTTTTCACAGTTGTTGTGATCTTCGTTACAACCTCTTTGCCGATTCCATCTTTAATAGGTATTGGCCCAACCTATAATAGAAGACATTGTTGCTAAAACAAGAACCATTTGGTTTTCAAAGACACTGCTCAAGGTGGATATTCTTGACTTGTTCACTTGTTGCTACCGGCCAACTAGTTGGTTTATATAGTAGTTGACTAGTTGGTCAATCTGGCTGATTAGTTGATTCAATAATAGAGTTTTATCAGGTCTGCTAGGTGCGATTAGTTTGAGTTATGTTTGGGTTTTATAAGGTGAAACAGTTTGATATTATATTTACTTTTAATTCTCTAAGCTTAGAGTTTATAATCTTTTATGTTACCTTGCTTCAAGTCATTTTTTAGTGTTTTCTATATCTATTATGGATTTTACTGATGTTTCTCCTAACAATATTCAATAGTTTCTAGTTCTACATCCGTTTGTCTTTTGCTTTTGTTTTCCGAGTGAGTGAGTTAAATAATCTTTAATATGCATGTAATATAAATAATTATACATGTTGATTATAAGATAATCGCAACTAGTTAATTTTTTGAATATTTATATATGTTGTTTTAATTTTCAAGTACTCATATATTTTTGAATTTACACTTGTATTATATTGAACTAAATTCTATTTGATATGATATACATTACTTTTATAATTATATGAATATTTATTATGTCTTGATACAGGACTTGTCGATAACTTTATGCTACAGAGAGTAGCTAGCCTATGTGCACATAGTATTCTGTATACGTAGCTGGTGAGAGAGACACCAGCATATGATGACTAATCCATTTACGGTAGTCATTTTTGGGTGTCATCTGAACTCTGACATCTATTCCACTACTTTATGATAATATGCCTAGTATGTATATGTATATTAAGATAAACAGACTTTCAAATTATTAATATCTAAAATATTTATTAAATGTTATTTTCTTACTGAGTTAATTAAACTCACCCTCATTTTTAATATTATTTTAGGATGTTAGTTTTTATTAGCAAGTGGACTTTATTAAGTGTTCTTGTTTTTTCAGTATTGGTCGGTATGCCTTACATATTTTGAGAAACTTTCCTTCTAAGTTTTGATTCGATGTTATAAACATTTTATTATTACACTATTTTAGTTATCTTAACAATATAACGAGTATTGTGGATTATTTTGAAATGATATTTGATTTTATTAGTTTTAAATAATATAATATTTTGGAATTTTACGAAATACTACGTGAATTTTGTAAAGTTTTGTCTATGATATGTATATTATAAGATTTAGTATAAGTGTAATGTCCTGCTAGCACCACTCCTGTGTTGGATCCAGAATTCAGTTCATGATAGATATACGGATTCATTTGAACACAAATTTAACGGACTTACAGTAAACTCAACTTCAGCATGCTCTTTTCCCTTGTAAACTCTGGTTATCTGTTTATGAACTCAAAAGGTCAGTTGCAGATAGTACTAGAAATGTAATTTCTCAAAGCATTTCACTTCAGTATTCTAGAATTGTTAGATTGATAGGAAAAGGTCACAAAAGAAAACTAGTTATCACAAAGGAAAATGAAAACTAGTTATCACAAAGGAAAATCAACGACCAATTCCGAAGCTATTGCGACGAGATATTCAAGTTAATGCTACCTGATA